TCTAGTTGGGCACACAACACCATAGATATTGACAGAAGTTAGAGATTGAACTTTTCTGTCGTATTGTTCAAACTGTCGAATGTTCGACCACTCCAGTTCTTAATGTCACCATCTACACCTCCACGTCAGACCAAAAAAACAGAGTGCTCCGCTAGAGGCTGGGATTCCATCTCATCCCGATCAACACCAAGTTTTTGGCACTATTGAACATCAGACGGATACCTCGGAAGACGTCAATATCCCCGTAGGCAATATAACATCCATTCATTCCCAGTTGTATCTCCCCAGTCTTTGGAACCTCCTATCGTGGGGGAGAGGGAGATTCTTCAGACTCTGTTTGCCATAGAACCTTTCGCCGATAATACAGGTAGAAATACTTTTACTGCTTCACTACCGCCTCATCAGGTCCAGAAAGATGTTAATGTTACTCAGACTCATGAGGATCATGATGTGCAACGACTTACACCTGGCTCCTCTGTTTTTTCATGCCCGACGACCACCTTTGGAATCTATTGATCAGATGAGTCAGTCTTTAGATGAGGAAGCAGAAGAATGAAGATCTACTCGAGCTCAGGAATCTGATGGATGATACTTTGGTTACTACAGACAATGGTACTCACCTTATCAATTTGTTAACCGGCTCACTTCCGAGAAGTCGAGGCAGGAGGATTAAAGTGGGACATTCCTAACACTTTTGTGCTCTTTTGTGAATTTTTGGTTATTTTGCTTTTATGTATCTTTATTTTATTTGGGTTTTGTGTGTGTTGTAGTATATAAGTTAGACTTTCTTTTAGGCCTTCTCCTACAATCTTTCTGTATCTTTTCCGTATTAAGATATTTGCCCTTGGGCTTTTTCAATATATATATATATATATATATATATAAATGATGGCGTCGTCTTCCTCTACGCTCAGCTCTGCTAGGGTTTTGCCTCATGGTGAACCCTAGCAACTGTTATTTCGAGCTATCACATCAGATCCTCTTCTCTACTCATTGCGTCTTCTCCAGCGTCCCTTCTTCGTTGTCGCCGTTTTGGAAAGTCGCCGCAGTCTTTCCTCCTCGTCGGCGTCGTCTGCAAGGTCTGTCGCTCTCCTTTCCTTCGTCGTCGTCGCCTCTCGTCTTCTTCCACGCCGCATTTTTTTTTTCGCAATCCTCGGGCTCGCGTTGAAATCGCAGGGGCTTCACAGAGGTGTGTCTGCTTCTGCTCCCTATTCTGGATTCAGATTTTGCTCTGCTTTGTTTTCTTCACTGTTCTTAACGTTTCACCTCTATCTATTGGGGATGACTTCAGACAGATCGTATGTTGCTGTTTTTGCGGGTGTACACGCCTTAGGTGCACCTAAATCGTGTTATTTTTCTCCTTTGTTTGAGTGGGCGGAGGACATCAAGAAACCTAGTAGGAAGAATGGGAAGCCTGTCATTATTTTTACAGGAACTGAAGATATTCAACTTGTTTCCTCCTGTCGACTGAGTTTGGTCGAGAAATTTTTGTATGGTCATCCCAAAATAGAGCTGATTCATATATCCCAAAATAGAGCTGATTCATAAGAAATTTGAGCTTATGCATCTTGTTGGGGAGTGGAAGATTGGACTGTTAGATGGAAGACACATTCTTATACAACTAAATAGTGAAGAGGATTATACGCGATTATTTGTTAGAAGAATAATCTTGATTGATAACAGAGCAATGAAGATTCTGAAATGGTCTGTGGATTTTGACCCATAGACGGAACCATCAATCATTCCGGTCTGTGGATTATACGTTCTTCTTCCTCGACTCTTCCTCTTCTATTTGCACAAACACTTGCGTCACTATTCCCGTGATCCTTTGATCCAAAGTTTGTTGGCTTCCCTCTTCTATATGCTTGGATCGTCTTGCTCAAAACTTGAGAAAGTCAGGCGTCCTCCCGGCACTCACAAGTCAAGAGAGCTGCTCAACGCCTCCTTCATTGTTTGACACTGATGCCGACTCGTTCTCCAAAGTCATCCTCCTTTCCTTCGCATGTTGCTTGACTCCCAGTTAAGTTGTTTGTCATGATTTAAAGGTGAACTTCAGATATTTATCTTCCCGATCTCCTCTTGTTTCCTCTCTCTCTTTATTCGGTTTCCCAACTCTTCACTTCATCTTCTTCTGCTTCCCCATTTCCTCTACTTGTTGTTTGTTTTTTTTCCCAAATAACTGAGATGAGAGGTTACAACAAATCCATCTGAATGAAACTTATCTGTAATGACTCATTTACAACCAACAACTTTTTTACCATAAGATAGTTCAACTAGTTTTCATAGACCATTTTCAGTTAAGGCATTCATTTTATCAAGTATCGTTGTTCGCCACCCGAAATGGGATTGGACTTGCTGAGCAGATCTCAGGACCTCTATAGATTCAATATAGGCAATAAACTAACACGAAGTAAAAGATAACTGGTTATAGTTAACACAAGAGGAAATGGGATATGCACTTTGACATTTACCTCTTCGAAGAGCAATAGGTAAATCGTGGTCACTAGGAGGAGGATTCTCTAAAAAAGATGATATCGGTGTTAGGCTAGGATTAAGTGGACAGGGTCTTCTAGAGTAAACATTAATGATAGGTGGTCTTGGTTGAGGCACTGGTGGTGGAGGTGGAAATGGAATAAGATCTAAACTGATGTGTGATATATTAATAACTCATTAGAAACCATGTACTTATTTATGAAGGGTAAAATGTCGAAACCTTATTTTGCAAGCTGTAGTATCCTAGAATGACACGTCATAATTACTTAAGGTATAGTTTAGAAACATGTGGATGAGTATCATGAACTAAAAAAGTACACCTACGTATATGTGGTTCAATGGGAAAGCGGGAGCTAGTTAGAAATACAATTTGGTAGGGTATCTGGTTCTGTAAACAACTGATGTCATCTTATTGAAAAAATGATCCGATTGATAAATGACATACAGTAGACACTGCATCAACTCAAAATCATTTGGGCACATTCATTTAAAACAAAATAGCTTTAGCTATCTTGGTAAAATGTTTATTTTTTCTTTGAGCTACTCTTTTTAAGATGTGATATTAAGATGGGATGATTGGTGAAGCATCCAATTTTATGTCATGTATGTTTAAAAAAGTGCATAAAAATTTTTTTTTTGACATTGTCAACTTATAATTTTAGCCAAAATATTGAATTATGTTTTAATTTCAATATGAAAAGATTCAAAATATGATGTTAACTCAGAATGAGATTTCATAAAATAAAGTGAGTCATATGAGAAAAATCATTCACCAAAGTGTCAAAATATTGAAATCTATTATAGGACAAGGTTCCCATTCATCAGAATGAGCAAACTCAAAACTATGACCAACTCTTTTATTAATTTTTGGAATAAAAGACACATGATGATGTTCAGCAAATTGACACAACTTATAATCTAAAGATAATCGTTAAAACTGCGGGTATAACTTTTTTAGCATTTGGTAGTGATAGATGCTCTAATTAATAATGGACCAAAAAAGAAGATAGTGTTGGAATAGGCTATGAGCTAAGGTAGTTTGTTATCCAAAATGTTTATCCCGCTGACTCTCTCCCTTTACCAATAATCTTTTTCGTCATAAGATCCTGGAAAAAGCAATGATCGTGGAAGAATAAGATATAATAATTAAGAGCACGTATAATTTTGCTAACATAAATAAGATTAAAAGAGAATTGAGGTAAACTAAGGGAAAAAATTAAAGATAATGTTGGTGTGATATTGATGGTGCCGGAACCAAGAATATTAGAGGTAGATTCAGCTAAGGTGACAGAAGAAAGATGTTTATAAACAGTGGAAAAGAGATTTGGATTGTCTGTTATGTAATTTGTAGCATCGAAATTAATCACCCATTATGTGGAAAAGGAAAAAAAAAAGGCAACTATCATTGTTACCAGACTCAACAACGGCAATGATATAGCAAGGGTAGGGATAAAGGGATTTATTCTTGGTTGCTTAGTGAAATTGGATGAATTTATATTCATCTACGGAAATTGAGAGTTTTATTCTGAGAGACCTCATTAGTAGTGTCCATGTGAGCTAACTGTGATTTGGAACTCTTCTGATTCTTTTTGAACAACTTTTGACATGTTCTCTTTGTATGACCAAGTTCATGGTAGTAGTAGCAGATTACCCTTGAGCCTTGATTTCAAGAAATTGGAGTTTCACTTTCATAATTGTCTTGAGACTGAGGTTTACTGATGTCTATTTTTTTATGGCTAGCAAGAGCACTAGGTTGTTGTACAGATGAAACCTAAGAACTTGGAATAGTATACAACATTTTATTACAGTCTTCTCTTAGAGTAGTAACTCTCAGGTCAGATAAGACTGGTTTGAAACCTTTATACTTGGAGTTAAGGCCAGTTAGAAAACTTATAGTAGTCATTTGTTTTGTTTGAGCTTGCTAAATTTAGAGATCAGTACTAAAGGCCAATAGTGTATTCAATTTTTCATAAACAAGTTTGAAGTGCATGTGATAAGTGAACTGATTGATCATTTTGTTCAGCTTGATAGAACTTCTTGCATACATAAAAAATTTGGGAAATATTCTCTCCCCGATAACACAAATGTCAATTCCTCCATCGCATCTTTAACAGATTCACAATGAGTAATATGACTATATTGATCAGGTTCGATAAAATTTTGTGTTTGTATTAAGAGTTGGTCATCAACTTTCATCCACTAATTTGGATTCATCTCTGCTGAGAAATTATCAATGAAGTGACATCCTTGAGAAATATTTTCTAGTAGTCTCGCCATTTTTTTCCAATAAATGATGCCATTTAACTTTTCATCAGAAATTTTAATTAGATTATTATATATCTTTTAGATGTCGTGGTCTTTTCATTATTTCATTTAAGACATTTAGAGTATTAGCATTATGGCAACAGTAATTTTGCATTTTGTTTGTAATTTGTTATCAGTCTTTCCAACTTGTTTTCAGAGACATTTTCTCGCTCGTATTTTTTACCAAACTCCATTTGGTAATTTTAGTTGATGAGATTTTATGTGTGGGGGCAAATACGCAGATTATGGAAGCTCATTTTCTGATGTTGTTCAAGGACTTCAACTTGTACTCGAATCTCTAGGTTCGCACCACCCAATGATGCCATCAAGTTACAAATACAAGGACACTCTAGAGAAGCAGGTCCGGCTTAAAGCATGGTAACTGATGTATTTGTTTTTATACATGAAAAATTTTCTTATTAATTTATTTATTTGTGTAACTTGTTTTTCAGCTGAGTCTGACCACCTTACATGTCCTTGGATTTGTTTCATTAGAGGATAGCCCGGCGCTTAAGGCTTTTCTTCTCAAGGTAAGGTCATCTCCCTTTAGAATCTTTGGTGTTTGCATACCATGTACAGTATCATGCATCTGTAGATATTCCATCTCATTGTTTTCCTTCTGAAACCATACTTGATAGTGCATTAAATATCTAACATTTTTTTTTGTAAAGTAGAATAGTGGTCTTTTTAAGGGTATATTTAAGGAAATAAATTTTCGATTTTGATAATTTTAGTTACTTTTTCCATGGGTATAAAAAAGCCTAGGAGTTCAGGATTTAATAACATATTTTGTTTCGCATTTGTATAAGCTTTATAGGACATTCTAAAATTAACTTTTATTTTAAAATTTCTTTATCAGGAAAGCATCCACCTCTGACTTTTAAAGTTTCCTTAAATGAAACAATTACTCCCCGCTTGACCTCCCTTTGTGTCAAACAACAGTGCATCAAAAATGGGCGATTCGATGAGACAAAATTCCCACCAATATTAGTCTTGACTTGCACAAATGAGGAATAAGAGGGTGGAGGATTGGTCACACTAAACTGTTACAAACTAATACTATCCGATTAGTTTTATATTCATTCATGTTCAAACTTTCAGAAAACCGTGCATTATTAATTCACTAATTATATACACAGTTACTAAGCACCAAAATATCAAATGTACATACTCCAAAAAGTCTTCAAACTCTCCAAAATCTTACAAATTAGAAGCTATACAAAGTCAGATCATTTGATTAATTGTCCTACTATTCCATACTATTTTTCTGAAAATTGACATAATAGAGTAAATTATAAGCTTAGTTAAACAATAAGTGTCTAAATAAGATTCAATAAACAGAAACGTATTAATTTGCATGCTAGTTAATGATTAATACAAGTGAATAAATAAGCTTGAATTTGTTTATTGCAGGCAATATATTTAAAAAGTTTTATAAAAGCAGTAAGCAATAATAAACATACTCTAACTTTCACATGTTTCAGTCAAATTCTTTTATAATCATATATATGCCTTTATTGTATTTTCTTATCCTAAGAATGTCTCTTTGTACTTGCACAGATTTTAATTTAATTCATTCCTAAGGGATGCAAAAAATTAGGTATATTTTATAAAAATAGTTATGTTAGATTTTAAGTGATGCAAAAAATTTGGTATATTTTAATGTGCACTTAATGTACTTGATTTATCCAAAACTGTGTATTACTCTATAGATGCTGAAAGGAATCTTTTTGTTATGTTTGGTCAGTTACCTATTTTGGTTAAGTAAATCAAGGTTTATAATGACTTATGTTAGAATCATGTGATTTTAATCGAGTTTCATTTCCTTCATAGCCCCTTGCACGAAGCAAATGGTGGCCAATTGTTTTTTTTTTTGGATTATAATTGCCCCAGAATTATGCTTCTAATAATCATCTTTAATTAAGAGTTTTCTGCTGTGATCATGAAGGACAATTAACAACATGGCCATGTGCTTGTAGGAAAATTGAAACTTAATCATAAACTCTTCATAAACTAAATGGTGAAATTTCTATGTACTGCTTGCTCTGAAATCCAATTTTTCTTTAGAAGAGATGGGAGGAAACTTTTTTGCTACTACGTTAGGGATAATTTCTTATTTGTCGTATTCATTATAGCAATAGCTATATTAAAACAAAATAAAAGGTAAAAACTCTTCATTGTTGCCAATTTAAAAGTTATTTATCAATTTTGGTGACGTGAAATTCATTAGTAATGTTTCTTATGGGCTTCTAAATTTCATTTGTTCAAATATAACATCTTATTGTGCTTCTATATTTTATATAGAGATGATCTATCAAATAATCATTACTGATCCTTCTTTCATTTGTGAAGAATGAACCTTTAAATTTTTTCTTTTTCATCTTACAGCTAGGCGTTTAGCTAATATATGCCTTAGCTAATGCTGTTATTGATAGTGAAAAATTATAACTGTCATCTAGTTTGCTGATCTGGAAATTTTTATACATGATTTACATTAAGTTAAAATATTTATGATATTCATAATAAGAAAAAATGAAAGCGAATTTATCTTTGCATATGTTTTGAAAATTGTATGCAAGGCCCTGTGGTCTAAGTCAGAATTAGTAAAAAAATCAACTATGGCACTTATGTTTTAGATTTTTATCTTAAGATGATCTTTAGTCATATCATCGGTATTGATAATATATTAGTTTATTGAAAAGCATTCAAACCTCAAGAATTCTTCATTGTTTTTTATATATTAATGATTTTCTTTACAATTTTTGAACCATTCTAGCTCCATAAGCCTATAGTTATGTTGTGATTATCATGTTAGATGAAGTGATACTTCCAGACCTCTTTTAACTTGTATAGCTTGATGGCATAGGAGGAAATACACAAGCCAGCTCCTGAATTCTTATTTGACTACATCTAACTTAAATCTCCTGAAGAAATTTTTATGATTTTTGCGAATTAATGCACTACAGTATCTTAGACAGTCCAAAATAGTTCACAAAAGCACAAGTCTCAGAAATAAATTACTAGAAGTCAGACTGGATCGATTTGAAATGGTTCCATTTTCATTCCTTTTTTGGCTCATTTATGTTTATGGCCAAATCGCTTTTGATTTATTATATTAGGTGTTATCTTCTTTTGAATTATGGTAACTTCAAATTTAAAGTTTCTTTTGATTGGAAAGGATTAGATTGCATTTAATGTTTAGCTTTATTCTTGTATCTATTTTATAAAAATAGGAGTCAATGTAAGTGGATTATTATTGATTAAATGAAATTATTTGGGGCTGGCTAAGTGCCTTTCAGATCGTAGTTGTGGATATCATGTCTTCAAGTTTTTCTGCAGAGTTGTTTTCTTACTTGCCCTTTCTTTTAAAGTAAGAACAAACGACCATTTAAATAGTCTACTTTTAACCATATTTTCCCAACCAATCAAAGCAGCTAAATACCTTCAAATATTATTGATGACTCATTTTATAATGTTTGGCGTTGTGAAAGTTTTTTAACTATGATCACAATTATTTTTTCATTAATCAAAACATTCCAATAAAAAATTATGGTTCATGTGATTAATGATTAAAGATAATATTTCTTGGATATGTATGTCATTAATTTTTAATAATGGAAAATTAAATATGTGATTTTTACCTTGAAAACGTTTATGTTTGTGAGGCTTATGTTGTCCTATATTTTTTATAATTTTTGTCACCTTACCTAATCATAATGTGCTCATTCGTGTTTCAGAGTGATACAGGAGTTAATCCAAACCACGACTCGAAATACGAATTTTGCTAACTTAATTGAGTATACAATGAAGACTCAAAAATAAAAGAAAATAACCACACAAAGCAAAGATGCAAGACAACTGCAAACAAACTACACAATAATGATGATAACAATGATCCTGATGAGTAGGAGCTCCGGAGTGGAAGAGTAGGGTCCAGGTGGTTTTGGTGAAGGCCGCGGGGCAATATCTTGCTGTTGTTGAAGGAGGAGAAAGGTGGGGCAGCAAGGTAGCGATCGTGGAGGTATTGAGCAGCAATGGGAGGAAGTGGTAAATGTCTTCGGTGGCTGAAATCCGGTTGGGCAGTGAACAGAGGCCTGCAGGAGGCAGGGATGGTCACAGTGGCCTGCAGAGGAGAGGCGGCCTGCTGGCTGTTTGCTGGATGCAGAATGGAGGGGCTGCAGCCTGCTGGGGAGAAGGGTGACAGCCTGCTGGAGGGAGAGAGGAGGGGCTGCAGCATGTTGGGAGGATGGCAACTTTATGGAACAGGGAGGAGGGGATGCGACCTGCTAGGAGGAGGGGCTGCAACCTGCTAGGAGGAGGGCGACAGTCTATTGGAGCAATGAGGAGGGGCTGACGAGTTAGAGGGAGGAAGTGGGGGAAGGATTGGAGTGGTTGAAGGCTAAGGAGAAGGGTTAGGGAAGATTTAGGAGGAAGATACATCACCAACTTGGAGTAGGATACAGTCGAAGCACCACCGTTTTCTCAAATACATCCGTCAAAATGGGAAAAGGTTTTCACACAGGAAAACCAAAAGCAACACAGCAAAAACAAAAGGAAACTTTAAGCATAACACTCCCTATTTATAATGAGGACTATGACTTATTTTAGATAATTTTTAAAATAAGAAAGAAGAATAAAAATAATAAGAATTCAGATTCAGGCAAGGCAGAATAAACTAATATAATTTCAGATTAGACAAGGATGAGTAAAATAAATCGGAATTTAGAATTCGTAAGGTCTTATAATCTGAAAGTACTAGGAAAGAAAGAGGGAGAGGGAGAGGGAGCTCCTTCCTTTGAAAACTTCAATTCCTTTTTCCATTAGATCGCATAAAATGGACATAATGCACCTTTGAAAAGTTGCATGTGCATTGTATAAACCAAAAGACATTCTTCTAAACGCAAAAGTCCCGTAAGGACTTGTGAATGTTCTCTTCTTTTGATTTTTAGGAGCTATGAGTATTCGGTGGTATCCAAAATATCCATATAAAAAGCAGAAATATCGGTGCCCAGCTAGTCTATCCAACATTTGATCCAGAAAAGGTAAAGGAAAGTGATGTTTCCTATTAACAAGATTTAATTTTTTTTAATCAATACAGATTCGCCACGTAGTGGGATTAATGTAGCCGACCCCACGTAGTGGGATTAAGGCTTTGTTGTTGTTGTTGTTGTTGTACAGATTCGCCACCTAATGACTTGTCTTGTTGGAATTAGTTCATTCTGTTCATTAACAACTACAATCATTCTCTCTTTCTTAGGAACACAGTGAATCAGACTAACCGTAACACTGCAAAAATAGGATAAATAATTCTAGCATCCAACCACTTTAAAATTTCTTTCTTTACAACATCTTCATTATGAGATTCAATCTCCTCTGGGAATTGTCCTAGTTTTATGATAATTTCTATTAAATTTTTATGCATACAAGTTGAAGGGCTGATATCTTTAATATCTGCTAATTTCCATCCAAAGACTTTGTTATAATTTTTTAATGTTTCTATTAATTATTGTTCCTAATCTTCAGTTAAGTC